CGCCAGATACGGGCCTGGCGCCATGCGCCCAGTCAACGACCATGTAGATGTGGTTCGGGGTCGATTTGACAGCTGCATGCTTTTCTCATGTAGTCCAGGCCTCCTTCTCTCCGCGATCCATCATCGGACGATAGATGCGAGGCCCTTCTCCGGGCGCGACAGGCTGACCCGCCACCCGGGGCGCCGGAGGGCCGACTCCGCAGATATATGAGAGGCGGCACCTCGGCCACACAACCACGTCATTTGCATCTTCGGCTGGCGCTTCAGCCGGGCACGCGAACTCAAGCTCCGGGACATCGGCTGCAGGGTCGGGCGCAACTCCGGTCGAAATGGCATCGCCACCATCGCCCACGGCCAGAAGCCCCGGGCCCGCACCAGATGGCCCGTGAATGTCGAAAGCTGAATCTGGGGCGTCCGCAGACGCAAATGCCCCCATGTCCACGCCCCCCTCATGATTTCTGGCTTCAGGTGAGAAATTCGCCCCTTCTTCGAACGCGGTCTGGATGCCTACTGGCCCGAGCCGTTCAAAATTCATGCATTCTTTGCTCGGGGCGTTTTCGCGCAAATACGTCGCGCGGCGATCCAGATCTCCTTCACCTATATCGCCTATGGCTTCCATGGCTCTCTCGTTGTAGAACACAACGGGCTGTCCCAAAAAAGCCCACCTATTCCTTCTCGGTCTTCAAAGAGAAATCGAGGACGAAGCCGACAATGTCCAGCATTGCAACGCATTCAAGATTGACTTCGCCCAGCCTCGTTTCTGGGACCTGCAACATCCACGCTGCCCCGAGATCCTTCAATACGGGGCCAGCTCCTCAAGTGTCCTTGAACGGTTTCTCCTTAGCCCCGAGCGACAGCCGCGCGTGGCAACATCGGCGGCGAGCTAACCGCTTGCCCTGCCGCTGCGGACCGGACCTTCTTCGGCCCCCCCTGCAGGCCCCGCGCCTGAGGCCACACTACCAACCCTGGTTGACCCGGGATCAGCGGCATTTTCCATAGCGCCATCTGCCGACCCCCCCTCAGCATGCGCAACTGCGCGATCCCCAGAAAAATAAGCGGCGGGCGTTAGCGGGGCCGACCACTCCTGCGGCGCGCTGGCGTTACTGCCACTTGGGCGAACACGCTGGCGAAGGAGTCACAGGGCCAGACAATGCGCCTGCGCATGTGCGGACGTAATTACGGGCGCAGCCTCCTCTAGCTGCTGTCTGGCCTGCCCCATAACAACCTCAGGTATTGCCATTCGTTCGTCTACCCTTGCGGCGGCGGGCGCTTCCGTCAGAATCGTCTCTTCCACGATTCTTGCGAAGGCAGCTGCATCTGACATTGCCTTCGCTTCTTTGAGGGCAGCATCGAGCGCCGCCAAGGATGCTGCCGGGTCTTGTTGCGATGCCTCGCGACGGTCGGCTGCGCCGACAGCCTGCGGGCCCGCGCCCGACGATTCTGTCTTCGCTTTTCTCGGCTCGCCCCCTCTTTGAACACTATCCGCCTGGGCCATCTTCTATCCACTGCTCATCATTGGCCGCCCTAGAGGCCTCCGCCCATGTCGGGCGCCCATCACCAGGCGACACAGTTGCGAACTACCAATTCGTCTGAGTGCCATCAATTTGTCGGGCCAAATGTCACGCGCGCCGAATCTGCCCGCCACCCCCCCCGGCCATTGCTCCGACATGAAGGGACTTCTCGACAGCATGTCCCCTCGAGGACAGCACGCGCCCCACACGCGGTCAAACATTGGACAACGTCGGTGCAATGGAGGCCGCCCGAGACGTCCATGGCCCACGGCGTCGCCGAGGCCCGGGACCCACTCCGACTGCGCGGCGCGGACTGCGTCGGCCCTGGCTCGTCCCCGATAGCACTCTGGCCGGGAATGCGCCCCCAACCCTTCGCCAACTTCCAAGCTATGGCGCAGCAACGCCCGAGCGCCCGCAAGGCGGAGCGCCGCTGGCGTCCATGCATAAGGGCGCAATTCCAACAGCGCGATTGCGGCGGAGTCCGAACGGCGCTTCCGCGGCTCGAAATTCTCGGCGCCGCGCGTTCTAACGCCATCGATCGGGCGGGCGAAGATGGTCCCCGCCTCGCCAAATACCGCCCGCGAGCGCCCCCTTCCGCCGTCGTGAATTTCAGGCTTCGGCGAGGCGCGCCACGCTCTTCACGGAGGCCGTAGACTCCAACCTCCCCAGCTTTGACACCCCCCCCCCGATTCGGGGTTCGACGGCAAGAGCACGCGCACCTCAACAATCACATGCAAGTTGATAACAATCGCTCCAGATGGATAGCGCGACAACCCTTCCCTCTCAAGATGTTCCGTCTTGGGCTCACTAAAGCAAAAGAGAATCGCCATCCTCGCGCAGCGATGCTTACTCGAGCACTGCCCGACGCTGGCCAACGCCAAATTTTTGCTTGTCCATACAGGATATATGTATATATACGTGTATGTATACATAATACATATATATATATATATATTATGTATACATATATATATATACACACACGGGACGTCGGCAACGTTCGGCCTTGTCTGATCGAAGAAGCGCGCCCAAATAGGAAGCGGACAACATGCTTCCCGCGGCGGGGATTCTGCATTCTCAGCTGTCATCAGCGTTGCCGGGAGGAACTTGCTCGTCGTTGACTTCATCGGTCTACTGCAGCTTACTGGCCCACCGTCATTCGCATGCAGATATCCAATCCCGACCCCGGCATTCCCCACTCGCCATTCGCAGCCACCCCCAGGGCCGGCCATTGGCGCCGCTGCAAAGTCAGCTCATTATTAACTGTTGAGCGCTCAAAGCGCGAACTTCTGTTTCTCCCATGCCCCGCGGCTCGCTGCCATGGACGACGCGGCGGCCCATCGCAGATGCAATCGCGCTACCCCGCGCATGTCGGACCAATCCCGATGGGGAGATAATAAAGCCAACTGTCGCTCTTCTTTGAGCCGCTCACAGGGCAACTAACTGATCCACTGCCAGTCATTCATGCATCTGCATCGAATCCCCTGTCCCTTGAGCTATGGCTCTGTCCTCTCATTCCTGCCCGGAGAATTGGCGCCCGTCGTAGCCGGGCCGCCCCTGGCCTTCACGTCGGCTTTTTTCGGGAAATCAACCACCATAGCGCCAGGGTCGGCGCGAACTGTTTGGGCCTGCGTCCCGGGGCCAGGAAAGCCGCGGTCGGCCGCCACCACGGATGAAACAGGAGACGGCGCCGGCAACTCCGAGCGATGGCGTTCAAGCCACGCAGTTCCACGCAGTTCCCATGTTACCCCACATATTTTCATCGAGGGGGCGCGGGCCCAAGGCGGCGTCGGGCGCCGCCTCTTCCGGGGGATTGCCCGGGATGAACCGCGGGCCAACGCGCGGCAGAAAGTAGAAGCGCTCTTTCAGCCCAGCGAGCCCGGGTTCGCCACCCCTTATGAACTCCGCAAGCTCTGGCGACACCCTGGGAAGATGGATGCCCGGGAAACAAGGGAAGTCCTCTTCAGTCAGCACATCAGTGAAATATTTGGGACGCGCGATCGCGGAGGGAATCGCGCCCTTCCCCACGTTCCATCGCGCCCACTGAGGCTGACAATGTCCACATCGCTTCGGCATCTGTCTCCGGGTCGGGTCGCCCAGCCCTGGTGGCTGAGCCGCCGTGGGGCCGACCGTCAGACGGAGCCACGAGTCCACTGGCCCTGACAATGTACTCTGCGACCATGACAGGCACTCCTGCACCGCTGCCTCCATCGCTAATAGATGACGGCTTAGTGTCCAGGAAATGGCAACTATCATTCGGAGGATGCTTCAATGATCGAGACAGCGCGGCTCCATCAAGAATGACAATGCGGGTAGACATGCAAAGTCCCATACCGTTCGATGCGTTTGTTCATCTCAACCCGGACAAGCGATGCGATGTCATTCCACATGTTCGCAGGGTCCAGATTGCCGCGCCCCGATACCAAACCACTGTTGTTTCCTCCGACGCGGAAGACGTGCATCACGCTGCTGGGGACGCGCGGAATAATATCATCCACAAACGCGAAAGTCTCCGACAAGACTCCGGGCGCCATTCAAGCGACCAATCCCGACTATCCCGGTGGGACACCCGTAAGCATGCTGGCGCTACCATCCCACACATCATTCAGGTTCCACAATACGTGATCAAAGCGATAATCCCCTTGCTCATCGTAATGTTCAAGAACGTTACTTCGAAACCATGCGTCGTCTCTCGGCAGGGCTCACTTACCTTACTTTTGGTTCTCGATTGAGATTCAGCGGTCTTCATTCTGGGGAACAGAATCGTGGAGTCCTTCTTAATGGTGGAAGTCATGTTCCAATGATGGTATGTTTTCCGAGGGGGTCGTCCTGCACAACTTCTGCTGCATGGGCGGGAAGAAATAATTTGGCGGCCTCCCCGAAGAGGCCATCGCATAAATGTCCTCTCCGACGAACGGTGCCCACCCATGCGCGTTCATTTCGGCCGTCAAACTGATGGCTTGATATTCCTGGTAAACGACAGAGCTGGAATGTATTGAGCAAGAGACACTGTAAGGAGATCGTCCACAAGGTCATCCCATCCTGTCGCGGGCGCGAACGATGCGTTGGCCACTTCTCTTTTTCCTTGTTGACGGGTTACTCCTTCATTCAAGGTCTGCATCAATTGCATGATGTTCCATGGGCCGCGGGAGATACATTTGGGATCAGGCCCCGCACCCGTGAATTGGATTCTCATGTTTACTACCTCCGCCGGCCCAGGTGGGGGGGCCTGCCCAACCCCCACCATTCCAGGTTAAACCAGGAACGGGAGGAGTTGGAGGCCTTCCACCACCCGTCGGACGCTGCGATTGATCAGGTGGATCTTGTCCCGCTGCACCTCCGCCTGCGCCAACACTTTGGCCCGCACCATCGGATGGACCGGCTACAGTGCCTGCTGCACAAACACCGCAAAAGCAGACCTCGCGCGTTTGTTGAGCACAGAAATCTTTCCGATGGGTTTGACAGGGAGCTGTTGCAGGCAAGCAGCACCTCGCCGCAGCAAGGAGGATGCGTCGATCGCGGCCGCCCCGGGGGTGTCAGGGTTCGCGGGCAGTCGCAGTGACTACGTGCCCTCGAGCCAAAAAACGGCAGCGGAAGAAGTGGCATGGGACGCGCGAGGGAGAGAAACGGAGGAGGCACGAGCCGCGCGCGCAAGGACATCGTGCCCTTGACGAGCAGAAGCGTGTGCGCAATTCTCCGCCAGCTTGCGTACAAAGGGTACGGCTCGGAACCCACACCCCGGAGGCGGGCGAGAACCTCGACAGGGTTCTCCGCCACGCCCCCAGGAGGCCGCCGCGAAGGCCAACGCGGTGCCCCAACCAGGGAGCCGAACTCTATACATCAACGCTTTGTCCGGCCCCGCACCGAAATTCACACAGGAAAGCGGGTCCTGGTGTATACGGGATCCTGGTGTATACATTGCTCGCGGTTTGCCCAGGAAACGAAACATCTATATATATATATATACACACAAACACACTACATCACCCCGACGTCGCCCCCGACCCCCAAAAGGTCCTGGGATTGAAAGAGAGCCCGCCACTGTTAGTGTATGTGCCCCAGTTTCCGAGCGAAGACGCAGATCGCAAGCCACACCCTGGCAGCCACGCCCTTTCTGGCCGCCGAGGGAGGCGCGCGCGAATTCCGCGTGGGTCGGGCACGCCCGCGGGCCCGGGGCTCCGCCTTCGCCCCCGCCGTCACCTCCTCTCGAGGGGCAACGCTGGGGAAGGGGGGCTTGCTCAGGGAGGGGAGCATCGGCCTGGGACCGGCGATGCACCGCCAGTGGGTCGGCGATGGGCCCCCAGCTGACTACCCACCAGGCCTGACCCGAAGGCACGAACTTCGGGTGGGGGGGGGGCACGGCTTCCACGCGCGCTTCTCCAGTGTTCCCCGACGCCCCCCCACCGGGAATGGAGGACAGATTGAAGCCTTCGGGTTGGGCTGCGGTGGCTTGGTGGATGGTGACCAGTAGCAGAACCGCACGCTCCAGAGCGGGGCGGGCTATCGGGCGCCAATCGGCGATCAGTGGGAGATTGGGGGACGACGCACCCCCCCCTGAGCCGATATATCCCTGGCGTTGTCCCTGAGATGCGCGCGCGAATTCGTGGGTCGGGCACGCCCGCTGGCCCAAAGCTCCGCCTCCGCCTCCTCCTCCTCCTCCTCCTCCTCCTCCTCCTCCTCATCATCATCATCATCATCATCATCATCATCATCATGATCATCATCATCATCATCATCATCATCATCATCATCATCATCATCATCATCATCATCATCATCATCATCATCATCATCATCATCATCATCCCTCCTTCTTATTATTATGAGTATTAATATTCTTATGTTTGTTTGTATGCTTCGTCTTACTCTTCTTAGTACTACTAGTATTATTTGTCTTATGATTATTCGTCTTAGTAGTATTATTATTCGTAGCATTCTTAGTAGTCGTAATATTATTATTATGATTATTACCATTCTGAGTCGTTCGCATTATCATTATTAATAGTATTAGTATTATTAGTATTATTGTTAGTATTATTAGTATTATTATTAGTATTAGTATTATTAATATTAGTATTATTATTGTTAGTGTTAGTATTAGCATTATTATTACTATTAGTATCATTATTATTATTATTAGTATTGTTATTAGTAGTAGTAGTAGTAGTAGTAGTAGTAGTAGTACTAGTAGTACTAGTAGTAGTAGTAGTAGTAGTAGCAGCAGTAGTAGTAGTAGTAGTAGTAGTAGTAGTAGTAGTAGTAGTAGTGGTAGTAGTAGTAGTAGTAGTAGTAGTAGTAGTCGTAGTAGTAGTAGTAGTGGTAGTAGTAGTAGTAGTAGTAGTAGTAGTAGTAGTAGTATTCTAATTCTTACTATTATAAGTATTAGTAATACTAATCGCATTCTTAGTTTTAGTGTGATTCATCTTGGTATTCGTATGATTCTGAATAATATTATTAATAATAATAATATTATTATTAATATTATGATTATCCTCCTCCTCCTCATCCTCCTCATCCTCATCCTCCTCATCCTCCTCATCCCCAGGAATCTGGGCCTCTTCCCAGGGACTATTTCTGCATCCCGAGTCGCTTCCTTGCGGCCCAGGGGCAGTGCCCCCCACCCACCCCCGGGGGCAGAGAGCTGCCAACAGCCGCCCGCCGTGCTTTCTTTTGGGGGGGGGGGACCTGTCTGCTTGCTCGTGCTCGTGGTGCGAGGAGGTCAGGGCTGGAAGGCACTCGGGCCATCGTTCGGGCCTCTGGCGGCCGCTCGGGACGACCAGGGCACTCCGGGAGCACCCTCGGCGAGGCGCAGCTGCCAGAGGGCACCTCACCTCGAGGAGAGGAGCGTGCGCCAAGCCGCAGCGAAATCCCCAGCGGCCGAATCCCGGCCCTCGTTCGGGCACACGCCGACATGGACTGGGGATCTGTGGGCCCACGGCGTGTGGACGCCCAACCCATGGATCGGGAAGGGGCCCTCCCGGAGCATGAAGCCGGGGCCGCCTGGTCAGGGCAACGGAGCGCTTCGATCCCGTCGCTAATCCACGCACCTTGGTCGATGTCGTCGCGTCCTCAACTCATCCCCCCTTCTCCCCCGACGACTCCCCCTCCCCCCCTCGTCCTCCGGAGGTCGAGAAGCGAGGGCTGGGATTCGGCCGCTGGGGACTTCGTTGCGGCTTGGCGCACGTTCCTCTCCTCGAGATGCCTTCCAGCAGCTGCGCCTCGCCGAGCGCGCTCCCGGAGTGCCCTGGTCGAACCGAGCGGCCGCCAGAGGCCCGAATGATGGCCCGAAAGCCTTCCAGCCCTGACCTCCTCGCGCCACGAGCACAAGCAAGCAGACAGACCCCCCCCCCCCAAAAAAAACAACAAGCAAAAAAAAAAAAACGGCGGGCGGCTGTTGACAGATCTCTGCCCCCAGGAGAGGGGGCCATGCCTTGGGGCCGCCAGGAAACGACTCGAGATGCAGAAATAGTCCCTGGGAAAAGACCCAGATTCCCGGGGACAGGAGGAGAAGGAGGAGGAGGAGGAGGAGACGGTGGAAAAGCACGGCGTCGGATGTCTGGGCCTGCTCCGCATCCTCCTTCCCTCCCTCCCTCCCTCCCTCCCTCCCCGACATCCGTAGCCATTTTGGCTCAAGCGAGCCGACTTTCGGGAGGCCCTCGCGCTGCGCGCCCAGGCGCGTTCGGGCGCGCAAGTGGCCATGTCGGGCGGCGGCGGCAGCGGCGGCGGCCCGGCTTGGGCGGCCGCGAGCGCACGGTCCCTCGCCAGGCGCCTCCGCAGGGAGCGCCGCGAGGAGATGGGCTTTTCTCGCGCCGAAGCCCTGGCGCAGCGGGCGCAAGCGCTTCGCGTGGCGCTGGACGCGCACTGGCGCATCGGAGACATTCTCGGCTGCCACTTCCCTTCCTTCGGCGAAGGGCTGGCGGCCGCCCGTCTCCTGGGCTGCCCAGGCGGCGGTGGTGAAGCATGCGGAGGAGGCGCTGGCGCTGGGCAACCAGGCGAGGCACGCGCCGCCGCCAGGGGCGGCTGGCGGGGCCCTGCCGCGGGCGGTCGGCGTCAAGGCCAGCGACCTCGAGGCCCAGCTGAAGGTGCAGGCCATCCCACTGCGGGGTGGGGCCGCGCCTTTCGAGCCCGCCAGCCGCGACACGGTCGACGTCCTGCTGGAGCAGCTGGGCGGGAGTGACAGCGTGCAGGCGGACGGGTACAAGGCTGACGCCCAGAAGCACGTGTTGAAGGAGAAGGTGGAGGAGGAGCCGAAGGTCGTCGCAGAGTGCTGCCACGTCGATGGGTCGTCGGCGAAGGTGGCGCCGCTGCAGAAGCAGGTCTCCGACATCTGCGTGGCGGGTGAGTCCAAGGTGGTGGAGTACCAGCTGTGGGTCGAGTCCTCTCTCGACCTCCCTGGTGCTCGGCGCGGGCAGGCGGTGCAGCCGTTCGTGCAGAGGAGGGCGCAGATGCTCTCCGTCGGCGTGGAGAACTTCGACAAAGAGGGGCCGCACTCGGAGTCGGGCGATTCCGAGACGGTGGAGGCGGAGGTGTCGGAGGCTGAGAAGGTCTTCAACATGTTGTTCTGGGATGGCGTGGATATGGTGGAGGTCGTCCAGCACATCGAGGCCGCGCGCTTCGACCTCTTCCTCATAGGCGACTTTTTCGAGTCGCAGAGGTTCCAGCAGTCCTACTACTTGGACGGCGTGAAGATCCACCGCGTAGGCGGTGGTGAGGCCCGACGGCTACGGCAAGCAGGCCGTGTTTGACCTCACGGTCGGGGGCCCTGATCCCGCCGCTGGAGGCGCAGGGCCCCCGTGGTCGGGGGCCCTGAGCTCGCCGCTGGAGGCTCAGGACCCCCGTGCCCGCGCGGACGCTCGCGCGCGCGCCCGCCCCTGGCAGCCAGTTGCCCGTTCGTCCGAGGCTGTTCTGCCTGGGGCCGCGCGCGCGCGGCACGCGGGCGACCAGGGGCCGCGTGGCTCGACTCGCGCCCCCAGGTACGCGGCCATCCCTCCCTCACATCCCCCCTGTCCCGCAGACACGGCACCCACCTACCTTCGGTGCGAATGTCCTCCCTCCACCTCCCCTCCTCCCACCCCATCCTCCGACGCGTCTTCCTCTTCCACCTCCTCCCCATACTCCTGCCGCACCCTGGTGCTCTTTCTGCCATTCCTCCCCATCATTTTCCTCCTTTTCCTCCTCATCCTCCTCCTCCTCAGCCTCCTCCACCTCCTTCTCCATCTCCTACCACCACCACTGCTCGCTTCCTCTCGTCCCGTCTTGCTTCATTCCGTGATGTCCCTCTCGTACCATCATGCACATGCCGCCCTCACCCCTGCCCACCCAGCAAAAAACGGTGATGAGGCCTGCTAGATTCTTTCGTCCGGTCGTCCCGTCATGCTTCATTCCGTGACTCCTCTCTCGTACCCTCATGCACACGCCGCCCTCACCCGTACCCACCAAGCGAGGCGGCGACGAAGCATGCCACACATGGCCCAAATGAGGTGGCTGCAGCCACACGCGCTAACTACCGGCGCGCCTTGGGGCGCCGCCGTCACACTTTAACGACCGGCGCGCCCTCGC